TAATATACACAGGGCAGGAAAGCCTCAAACAATGAATAGAATACATGATTTGTCATATTGGATTGCCAAGGCCCAATTCATCGTCAATTTCATCCCCATCTTCAAAAAGCTTTAGGAAGCGTGCATGATCTTGTTCTCTCTTCTTCTTCTTCCAGTATTTGTAGGAAGCCACTGCTCCAAGAATAGATACAATGGAAATTAGCACACCGATCACTATCACCCAAAACGCATTCACTCCACCATGTGAGCCAGAAATATGATCAGAACCTACAATCGCATGAACACCAGAAACATTAAAATTTTAACACTATAAATTCAAATGTACAGACAGAGATGAAAGGAAAAGTCATGCTGTATATACAACTATGCAGTCAACATGTAAGATCAATTCAAACCACTCTATTGGTGGATCAATTCTTGGATATGGCTGCAAATGGATTGGATTTAGATCAGATATACCTAAATCTGAATTTGATTCTATCAATATATGGATTTGAATTGAACCAGATTTCACATTGGACTCAGAATTCAGATATCATATATCATTAGTAGAATACATTAGAAATGGTTCAGAATACTATACACGAATAATAAAATGAACTAGGCATACTAACAAATTGAGTTAAAATAACACATGACCCTTTAGTACAAAAGGCAACACTTAAACCAACTTTGCTGATAAATAAATGTTGCACTGGATCAAAGTTTGATCTGATTACAAATGGATCCGATAATTGAAAAATGTATCCTGCTTAACTGAACTGGATTTTGGATTTCAATTTGGACAATTTGATGCCACCGAGGGCCCCTATATTTGGAAGGGCTGCAGCTATAACATAATATAAATATTATAATCTTAAGATTATCATTCATCCAATGTAATGACTTATATTTGGACCATTAAATCACTTTCTTTTTCTATCAAAATTTTCTCATTTCATCTCTGTTATGCACAATACAGTTAGCTTTTCTGTATGAACTTTGGATAATGCACAAACAAAAAGTTCTAATTTACATAGGCTAGCATGAAGAATGGCTTCTGATTGCTCACAACAAATTGACATTTTATAGAACAACTCACCATCTTCAAGAAGCATGCACTGGGGACATAAAAATGTAGCATTGAATTCCTTGTCCTTGAAATGCACATAATATCCATCTGGAGCTATAAAATCAGAAGCACAAAGTTCCCACTCATCAAATACATCATCTGATTTTATGGTGTCCTCTTCATATAACCCACATCTCTTACATTTCTTGTCTGCAAGTATGGCCAGAGGCTGCAACAGAATCATCATATTTTCACTGTCAGATGCCTTGAACAGAGTTTTGCAGAAAAACTAAGATACGGGTAGAACATTAGAAAGATCTTGATAAGGCTTGAACTGGAAATATCTCATTAAGCAATGGCATATTATTGCAACTCAGCAAGTCAGACAGAAATTTAAGCGAAAGCCAATGAGATTATCTGCATACAAATTAGCAGATATAGGGATCCAATCTGAATGGGGTGTTCCCACCTCATCCCTTAATATAGTGCCCCAAAGGATAAATAGCCATTTTTCATCTAGCTAATTATCATTTGACAGTTTCCTTCTACCATGCAGTTAAAATCCAAAGAGTAACTCAACTACTTCTCCAGACAAGCACCAAGGAGCAATTCAACCTAAGACCCCAGAGAAGAAGAGGCATCTGAACTCCATTGAAACTACCATCTCCAGTCAAGGTGGAAGGAACAAGGATGATCTCTATTTCCTACATGTGAAAGTACCTCAGACACTGGAGGGACCTGGATTCCTCAATCAAGCAACCCTCAAAATCATGATTGATTTCCCTGACAAATGAAGTGTCTGCTCCTGCACCAGAACCTGCTGATGGACTAAAGTGGAGGATGAGTGGATGACCACTGGCAATGAGTTAATTGCTTTTAATGAGTTGAAACCTTCCAGAACACCATTATTTGCAAAAAGGAAGAAAGCTTCCTTGGGCAGACATAGATCCTCTTTGCAGGTGGTAATGACTCTCCTAAAGTTTAAACTAAATTCCCATTTCTCACATAGGCACATAACAAGAACCTCCAAAATACGGAATAGTAATTGACTGGGAAACATATATCTATTACAAGCTATTTGGATTATGGGAAAAAGATTTTCTGTAACTATACTAGGAAAATCTTTTTAATTAAGGGTTGATATTCTTGCCTCACTGGTTTTGCAAAAACCAATCAATTTGCAGTGCATTGATCTCGGATTTGGGAACTTCATACAAGTTTATATTTCATAAAATACAGCTTCAAATGACAACAGCAAAACTAATAGAAGGCTAACAGCAACCTACTAATTCACCTAGGGATAAGACTACCCAGCAAAGGCTGCCTTGTTTCAGCTTCCTACTTTTCTTGCTACAGATACTACAGATGGACATGAATAAACTTGACATGATAAAATGAGATAAGAATGGAATGCCCTGTGAAGACACATGATCTTTTCCCAAAGTGTTGGCCTTAGAAAGTTGATTCTGCRTAAATCTGATTATATTTAAACTAGTAGCTTTGTCATGTGAAACTATCAAAGGAATAGCATCTAGACCTAGGGTATTTTTCAAGCAGTCCACTTAACCATACAAGGGATTGGAGAACCACCAGAAT